AGCATGTGTCTTTGCACTCCCATTTGCTGAATCAGTGGCAACATGCTTTCGCCACTTGCTGCGAATGCTTGCAACATCCACTACAGCCAGCCGACTTCGGAGCCTTCTCCACCTTCCTCGCCCACCGCTTCAGCCAAACGACCCACGCTTGCCCTCCTTCTACCACTCCACCTCCGCTGCGTCCATCACGGTTGCGTACACGGAAGTCCTCGACAACCGCTCTCCGCACAACCACGCAGCCTCCGCAACCTTCGCGCTTTCCACCGTCTATCCCGCTCCCCGTGCTGCTTCCTGAAGCTCGTCCATCGCAGCGTCCGTTTCACCTTTTCGCCACGCCTCCTCACCGCGCTCCCGTCCCACGGCAAAAAGATGTCTGCTCCGGGGTCCTCACGTCGGCGCCGCTCGGGATCGATCGTGATTCGTCGCCCTTCGCGGTCGAAATCGATCGGTTCATCTCTCCACTTCTACATCCTACCTAGATCTGGCCACGCAGCCACATTCTATTCCCGCCCGATCGCTTCGACCGTTCCTTCGATTACTGTACCAATTGAAACTAACCCTTCCTGCTGGTAATCTCCTAGTCGACCCCCAAACTGCTGGGATCGGCTTGGACGTGGTTTTAGCATGTTTTTGCTGTTCCAATGAGTCTATGCCTTTTTTGACCCAAACTGGGAGCGATTGGGGTCCGACTTGGCGGGCAGATCGCAAAACGCCGTTGCTTGTGAAGTCGAAAAAAATCACTGTTGACCCAACTGACGTATGCTGCTTCGATTTTCTTTGATTTATTGTGTACTTTCCCAAGTGCAGGGAAGTGAGCAATTCCTGCAGTAATTCTAATCGTGAGGATGTCCGGAAATTCCTTGAAGTCTCTCACCTGACAGGTGCGGCCAAAGTGTTTATGCTCACCCAGCACCATACAGTTGATGAGTGCCTTGTAGTGAAAGTTGGTGGGAGTTTCCGAAATGCTATAGCCGGGGCATGACTTGGCCATGCCAAGCATTTAACTACAAGCATTTTTGAGAGACTTCGGGTCGTGGATCCATTCCGGTCGAATCGATTTGATCACAAAGTACGAGCGTGAACATGCTTCGAACGCAAGCAGTGTCGCACATTTTAGAACCCAACCATGTGGCAATGTGGCATTTGGCGTGCGCCATGTGATCCGAGGCGAAGGTCTTCAAAAAACTTGCAAACCATGCGTCCAGCAGATGCTGGAGATGACGGAACTGCAGGTGCGGAAATCTGCAGATAGGTGGCACAGCTCCTCCGCATAGGTGGCACAACAGATGCGACATTGGCCCAGATTCGATGCACCTTGGCACTTCCTCCAAGCTCCTCTGACTTTGCTCACGTGTTGCGCCCGAAACTAGCAGGTTTCTTTGTTTTCCGTGCAGGAGCCTTCCAGCTGGATCCTTCAGTGTACGCAATATCATGGTATCTCAAACCTTCTGTCCAGCTGCTATACGGACCTGGGGTTTCCACGACACTCATGCCCTTCTACCACTCGTTCTGTTCGCGTCCGATACTACGGTATTCTATCATTCTCCGTTTCATACGTATCGTCTTCTTTTCATGCGATCTTCAGCACGAAGATCTTAACATATTTTCTGATACTCATATCCACCCAATATAGACCTAGCAATTCTCTTTTTTGCCCTCTCACTGTGCACTCTTTGAGTGGAGAACTATCCCCCCGAACGCATGCACTGCCAACCTGGACACAGAGCCTCAGGGGCGCGGCCAAGACAAGAGGAGGACAAGGCCTGGACACAGAGCCCAGCCACAGAGCCCAGCCACATTGACAGAGTTCAGGAGGACAAGGCCTGGACACAGAGCCCAGCCGCAGGGCCCAGACAGAGTTCAGGGGCGCGGCCAAGACGAGGAACAAGGCCTGGACACAGAGCCCAGCCACAGAGTTAGGTATTTACGCACACGCGCACAAAACAAATATATATATATATATTATATGTCATATAGGGCTTTGGTTTTACTTGATGTTCGTTTTTCCACGCAGAAAGTCTTGAGTAATCTGCCGCGTAGGAGGCCCTCACTCAACTCGACCGGCTCTTTGTGGCAATGGCGGAGGACACGGTCAGCCACATGGCGGCCATGGCCTGGGGTCTACCAGACCCCACCGCCAAGCCTCCCAAAGGTGCCACCCTGCCCGTGTGCAAGCGGCGTCACGAGGCCAGTTTTTTGTTTTTCTTGATTGCATTTTCTGCCTTAGCCACCTCATTCGCACAAGGTTCCATTGTGATTTTCAGCGCCTTTCAGGCAGAAAAGCCCTCGGCCGACGATGTCGACAACACGGTGACGGTCCACACGGTGAAACAACACCACATCAAGGTGTCTCCGGCGAGGGAAGGCCAAGTCGAAACAGACTTAGCCGCCCTCGTCCGAATCGTCACCGAGAGGGGCCACACCCACCTCAAAGAAGCAGGCGGGCTGTCCGGTTTTCATTTCACACAGGCAGATTTAAGGCATTTGTTTGAATTGTTTCATTGCAGTGGCCTTGTCAGGCACGAAGAGGGCCTTGCTTGGAGGTGGTGGCGGGTTTTGGGGGAGTCTCAGGGGCCAGCATTGGGACCCCCACCTGACCTGCAGCGGCGGCGCCTGGACATTGAAGGCCGCCGCCGACAAATGGGGCTTCTTGAAGGACTGGTCAAATAATTCGTTTACATTAAATCTGCAGTTTTGCTTTGGTCCGGAAAGTGACAGCCAAACTAAAGATGCATGTGTTTGCACAAATGGCTTTGTCTTTTGATTCTATTTTCAGGAGGGACAGTGCTGCATCATCGTTCGCGGCAAAATGGTGAAGGGGAAGGTGGCGGTGTGGCGCAGCCCAGTGGTGCAGCCCTCGGACATCGCCGTGTGGGAGGCGGTCGACGAGTGGCCAAAGCACCTCTGGGCCATCCCCAACAACGTCATCGTCGTCAGCACCAAAGGCGGGCGGGGGGGTCCATCATATTTCTTTAAAATTTTGTGTGGATTGAAATAGTTTCTGCTTCACATTAAAATTAATTAAATTAAGCAAGCAGCGTTTCCTCGCAACCTATGACCTCTTCACGAGGCCGTGGCATAGCCATCCTTGCCGGCTGTGACTGCGACGGGCGCACTTCAGCGTAGCTGCTCGCGTGCACCGCCAGGCATAGTTGGCGAGACTGTCCGCGGATTTCAGCAGCATGACCGGTGGTGACAGCCCACTTGCGCTGCAGCAAAAGGGTGCAGCCGTTTCCTTCCATTCGACGCCTTTCCTCCACCCCCGGCCCAGCTAGCTTTCGTCACCAACCCCCGGCCTCAAGTTGACTTTGCCCAGGCCGCGTACCTCCGCGTGAAGGAGAAATGGGAAGGACCGGCGTTGGTCCATTTCTCTAAGGCACTGCGTAAGACTTGGAGGCACTATAGGCTACTCAGGGACATGATTGTGTGTCTATAGAGTTTATCTAGATCACCCTATAGAGGTTTGTCCCTCGAATTTTGTGTCGAGGCGGCGGGGCCCGGCAGCGAGCCAAACAACCCGGCAGTGGACGAGGTGCCAGATAGGAACGCTTGGGGCTTGGTGAGTAGTAGTTTCAACTGAGTTCGTGTTTCTTGTTGAAATGAAAACATAGAACCTTCCTTTTGAGACACATATTACAGGTATCTGATAACCCTTGCAACGGCTACTCAGACACATGAGCGTGTTGTGTGTCTAGAGCCTATCTAGATCATCCTATAGAGGTTTGTCACTTTGAAATTTGCGTCGAGGCCGCGGGATCCGGCAGCGAGCCAAACGATCCGGCGGTGGAGGAGGTGCCAGATAGGAACGCTTGGGGCTTGGTGAGTAGTAGTTTCAGTTGGGTTCATGTTTCTTGTTAAAATGAAATATAGCTGATAGCACCTTCCTTTTGACAGACATATTACAGGTATCTGATCACTCTTGCAAGTGTGTATGTGTGTGTGTAAAATGTCACACAAGGCAGATACCCAGATCCGGGACAATGGCATGGCTTTGGAGGACTACATTAAAGCCCTTCGCGAGGCTAGCCAAACAACAGGGTTCGCAGAATGTTTTATTGAAACGGGCGAGGCGCCCACTCACCACTTGAAAGAGTGGATGTTGGAGGATTGGGGCTTTGAACGTCGTACCCTGAGCTCAAGGACGTTCACTCTTACCCTTGCTTTTCCTTTTGCGCCTCGCCTCGCTGCAGGCTACGTTTTCCCACACTCTGAGCAGGCGTGGTGGTACTTGAGCCACGCTGTGTGGCTGTGGGAACGTGCCCTTGATGGGCGCAACGCTGCCTGATTGATGTAGAAGAGCGCACTGGAAAAAAAGGAGGGCAATCAAGCTTTGATTGCGTTGCAATGTTGCACGTCTATCTGTGTCGTAGCCATCAGGAAGCCCACCAACGTTGGTGAAGTTGATGTTGCTTGAGTGATTGTCATGTGTCACGGACTCTGTTACTAGAATCTGCCTGCCACCCGCGGCCCACCAAACAAAAAAAGAGGTTCAGTGACTCAGTGTCGAGATTCTGCTGTGATACGCAGCCTCGGCTCGAGCCCATTGACTACACTCAGCATTGACACGCCACACCCCTACACACAGCAGTTCTCAGCAAGGTTACACGTTCCAGGAATCAAGCAAGTCCTCAGAAGAGTTTGGACAAGGATATTAAATGGAAACAAACACTGAACAGTAGTAGTTGAAAACAAACCTGGCTGAAAAACATATATAGGCCTTTTGATTCCAACCACGAAAAACTATTCAGGGGGCTGGGAATAGTTTTGCGAAAACAACATCATGACCCCCTTCCACCTCTATAGGATCGTCGCAAGACACTTGCCTCTATGCCGAAAAAAATCCAACACTACTTCAAACCAGACATGCGTTTGAAGAACTGTGTTCTTCAAGAGCCACCCCATTCTTTGGCCGAACGCCCCCCTCACCAAACGCTTGTTGTGGAAAGAGCCAAACACGCCGCCCGAACGCGCTGGCTCCCGCCTTCTCGCGTTCGTTGCAGGGTGATTTGGAGCCCTTCCGCACGCTCTTCGGCTACTTGGGGGAGCTACTGGCAGTGGCAGAGGACCCTTCAGAGGCGGGGCTGGTCGAAGTTGTTGAATGTTTCTGCCTGAGAACAAGTAATGACGGGGTCGGCTCGAATGTACAGAGCACGGGCCATTTGACTGCATCGTCTCCCCAGTTGGAGTCTGTAATGCAAGTGACTGGGGCAAAAACAAAAGCACGTATAGTTTCGGCAGTTAAGACAGTTAAGAGTAAAGAACAACATGTTTGCACATAAATGGCAATTATATTAATAGTTGGCAGTTGTTCTTTGTGGAATACAACTCCTTTACATATACTTGGAGGATTCACTTGGAAGAATCATGTGGTGAAACTAGACAGAGGTAGACCAGGAAAGACAAGGCAGCAAAACTCGAGAACCACCGACTTGGACGCAATGACCTTTGACCAGACTTGTTCCACTTGAAATCGAGCGACAGGGCTTAAGATTGGACCCACAGGTTCTGCAGCTGCTTTGGGACCTGGAGCTTCTACCCGTCGAGAGCCAGGAGGCACGAGACGTGGGAGATTCTTTTCAACGAGTGAAAAGAGATATGTTTGGAGTTTGGAGATGACTTACTCTTCTGTGAATCTTGGATAATCTTGGGATGACTGTAGAAAGAGGTTCATGCTTTTGGATTTAGATAAATCATGATCAATCAACCCAGAGACACCAGAAGATGACCAGCAGAGTCTCCCCTCGGAACCTTCGGAGTGTGCCAAGTGAATGAAGAAGACAGAGTGAATGCCCATTTGGAGACTCCACACATCACAAGTTGCAACCGCAAATACAGATGTGTTGACGAACTTCCAGTCCCGAGTGTTGGGGGCGAGGTCGCTCCCGAGGTCGCACAGAGGATCGCAACGGTCTTCACGCGCTGGTCCGGTCGCTGCATCTCAAACAGACACATTTGCTACAAATGGGGCTTTGGTCTCCAAAAAGTGGGGGGCAAGCAGAAGGAGATCCAGCATCAGAGCATTGGGACTGGGGAGGGCGGGGGGGGACTTACCTGGAAGACCGAAATTTCACAGGATTTCACTGCACATGCATGCCAACCAATCGAGGTGCCGCCCGCTGAACGAGTTGCAGAAGAGACGATGGGATCTCGTTGACATTGGTACACATGAAGACGAAATCGTGTTGAGACAAACACGTGATTCCATGTGGGATCTCCCCTTTTCTTGGACCCAGTGACCCCAACGAACTGAATCAGAGGATGTCCGAAAGAAAGGACTGGTGCACTTCCTCCACACATCACTCTCCATGCGTCGCCAGGGGCTCCGGCTGTTCCGCCCGCGGGACCGGGTCTGCTCGCGGCGCGGGCGGACCGGTCCGGCGTGGGCTTGGCAGCGGCTGGAGGGGCAGATCAGGGTGCTCAGCGAGGCAGGTGAATCGCTACGAACGGAGCATGGCATCGCGACTCGAACGGAGCGATGGGACGAGAAGAACGGGGAGAACGGTGCGCCGTACCTACGAACGGAGCGATCGGACGCTACTAGAAACACACGTCGCACAGATACATGAACAAGCCCTTGCAAGGTCTCAGCCATGATTTTCATCCGCTTGACGTGATGGTTGGACCAAAGACCGTATGGTTTCTCAGACCTTATCCTCTTTCTCTCAGGCTTGCTGATCGATTTGGACCGGATCGACTCCGTCCCGTTTTTGGTTGACCGGGATTGCCAGTCCGCCTCGGAGGATCCGTGCACCCGGAAGGGCCAGGGGGTCTCCGACACGCACCCAACGAGACCGGTCTGGGGCACCTGCCATCGCACGTCGCCCGCACAGTCCTTGACGCACCTCGACGGTCCGGCGGGCACCTTCCTGCACGTGGCCCTGGAGCCCTTGGAGGCAGGGCTTCGTCCGGTCACGTCCGTCCGACCGTTCAGTGCTCGTTGGAGAAAACGCGAGGACCCAGACTACCACAACACCCAGAAGCAGACTGGTGGCGGATCTTTTGTGGACCTCCCGGAACCTCCCCGTTTCTTTGGGAAAGCCACAAGAAGAGCTCGGCGTCTCCGGCTCCCTTTCATCCAAGGAGGCTCAACTCAAAGAGCGGCTGCTCGCACGGCTGGCGCAGCCTGAGGGGCCTCCAGAGGTGTGGGAGGGGGTGTTGTTCGACCAGATGGTCGGTGCTATATCCGTTTTGGTAGTTCTTTTGTTTACTTTTACCAGGTTTGAGTTTGGGTTTGGGTGACATACCCTGCAAGATTAAACCAAGAGAAAGCCACATTTGATGGGCGAGCGGTGAACAGGCTTTTGGTTTTGACCAGTGAAGCCAATCTGAGTCCTTTGATCCTCTGGCGTGAGCACTTATCGCTTCATGTGATTCTGTCAGTGTGTGCTAGTCTTCTGTATCTTCTGGCCTGCCCGACCTCCTGGGTCAAAAGCTGATGGAGCACCTGAGCACATGCACTTGTTCCCAAGTTCTGGAAGAAATCCGGATCGTGAGTGGTCCAGGACCGGATGTCCATGTTTGGTTCGTTCGGGTCCACCTACGCGGTGCGTCCGCGTTGACGCAGTGCATCCAGGTGCAGTGGGCTGCGCTGGCTGTGCTGCAGAGCCTCTTTCTGGAGACTCCCTGGGAGAAGGTGAACCAGGCATCCACCGATGTCCAAAACGCTGAAGGTTCCTTTGGGCTGCTTTGCTCGTGCTCGAGATCTCGCACCTTTTGTGGGGGAGGAAACGATCACTCGGTGGGTCTGGTCCAGACCTTGTGAAGGTTCCTTTTGAACGACAGTGGAATGACACCCACGTTATCTGTGGAGGTCTTGGAGGGCTTGGACTTAGACCCCACTCCAGCGCTCCAACGCGGTGTCACACCTGGAGTGCCCACCTTGGAGCGCTCGAGGACCCCACTGCAGCGTTTTCTTTTCTGAGGGTCCAACTGGTGGATTTCTGGATTTGCAGGCGATCAGGTGTTGCACCTGTACCAATGTCTGTCCAATCTCTGTCGTCGTTTCAACATCTGCAAGAATCCACGCCATCCAAGAAATTCAGTATTGCTCTTCCTAAACCAAGAAGTACCAAAGTTGAAGTCTCAGCAGATTTGTGCTTCTAGTACATTTTCCTTTAGCTACCCCACCTCGCAGGTCTTGTGGTTGCCCTCCTTGGGGGAGCCGCGGCTCTTCCCCGCCCACCGCCTGGTCATGGCCTCCTTCCTCGGTTGCGCGCTGGACGGAGACCGGGCGGTGGCCGCCGCCGCGTCGGCCGCGGCGAGCGGAACGGTGAATGGACGGGTGGCCAGCAGCTGCGCCGCGGGCTTACCATTGCAGGCGAGACCGGAACACCGGAATGTGGGGCCTCCGGAAGTCCACATTTGGCAGGTTTGTTGTTTTGTTTTTCGCAATTGGAGATGTGGGTTGAACATTCTTCGGTTGTGCTCTTGAAACCCAAGGCCCTAGCTTTAGGGTAGACCTGCAAAAGGGACACACTTGAACTTTCAGTCTTGAGTGGTGTCCATTTGCAAGATCGCCAGGCAAGATTTGTGGATCCCGAGTATTTGAGCTATGGTGATGCCATCTCCTGGGAGTCCTTTTTGGCAGCTTGCCGGTTTTGCTCTTTAGACACCGCTCAGCTTGAGGAGTGGACAATGTTTGTGAAAGGGTCTCATTTGGTGGGAAAAATCCGGTATCACATGCTGGAGAACGGAGAGATGATAAACATTCGCAACACTTCCATCTCCGCCCACGCTGATTTTTGGGACGTTTTTTGTTGCCCTCTGGATTTTCCTAGTGTCGAACATGGAAAAGGTAAAGTTGCGAATGACTAGGTTGGAGGCCATTGCTAGTAGGTTGGAGGCCATCGCTTGTAGGTTGGAGGCCATTGCTACTAATTAGAAACAAAGAAAACGCAATGAAAACAGGTAATATAGTTTGCTATGAGGTTGGAGGCCATTGCTAGTAGGTTGGCGGGACTGCATTCTCCTTTGCACATCCCTTCGAAGCCGTTCTCAGACACTTCGGAACCGAAGAAAGCCGTCATCGTCCACCGGGCTTTGCAGCTGACACCACGATGAATCGATGAACCTCAAGTCGAGTCTTCACGAGCTTTCATGTGTCCCATTTGCCATCGCAGTCGGAACGAGCAGCGGAACAGACGAAGAGGGTGGTCGAACAACCATCGAACCCCTCACGGTCTTTTTGAACGTACTGAGGAAACTACCACTTTCCAAAATTTGACGTCGACTCCTGTCTCGAGTGTCTGGTTTATTCAAGTTTCAGGCACACCTCGAAGTTGCTTTTTATGGCAGTCAGCAGGTTCCACCCAGCAGTCCAAGAATTCCTAGCTTCACCAAACTCAGACACTGGCTGACCAAGAACTCGGGCCAAACCTCAGAAGCACCATCAAACTCAGAGGATAACTGTGCACTTCGACAATCTGTCTTGGAATCTCTCGCTGTGCCTTCACGACTCGCCTTAGGAAGTCTTGGGCGTTCGGCCGCTGTACCCGATCCGCAGCGAACTGCCTTGCTTCGATCCGCCCGCGAAGGCGCCCGCGGTGAGCTCGACGGCTTTGCCCCAGGCCGAGGCTTTTGGAGAAAGTGTTCTTTGAGAGGACTGAAAACTGAAGATCCCCATTTTGGGGAGAAAAGCTTGAGGGAAACCATGAATCATTTGGACAAGCCTGGATCCCATCTTCAGGTGGAGTCCGCCAGTAAATCTGCCAAGATCTGGGCCCAGCGGAAGCTCGAAGGCTTACAGCAGTCGCCCTTGGGAGAGGCCTCCACGCCTATCTATCGCGCAGAGGAGCGGAAGAAGCTCATCATGGTGCCTTACCAGCGCCTTCAAGCAGAGCCTCGAATTAGAGAAGCGATCAGAGATGATCAGAGTGGCAGTGCCTCAACCTTGATCTAAGGTTGCTCCTGCTTTCTTGTTGAACCAAGTCAAGTGGTCATTTGGGGAAAACTGACATCCTATGATAAGCAGGGTCTTGCAAGGGGATGTAGCAGGGAGAGACAGCAGTTAGAAGCCCTGTAGTATCTTTTTCTTGGCCATAGGTTGTCAAACAAGAGATTGGGGACTATAATCCGCTTGCGGGCAATACCATGATGAGTACGTGGAGGATAGGAGCATGTCTAAGGTTCTTGGTCAAGCTGGGTGCTTTGTGTTGAGGGTGGATCCTCAGTAGATTCTGTCGGGTAGGGCAAAGGTGGAGTTGGTAGTAGAAAAACGGACATGACTTAATTGAGGTTGTTCTGCCTAAAGGATTTCACGTATGTAACTTTGATTCAAATTGTGTTAATCAATTCCAACATCGAATTGAGTTGTTGATCTGAAGATTATGCTATTGAGCTTGTCGGGAAGGCCCATATCATCTACCGTTGCTGTTGGTCCCCACTTGGCTCAGAAGCAGCTGGTCGCCCAGCTGGTCTCGGCGGAGTGGTGGCGACGCCTGTGTCCGCAGAGCTTTGACTACCTCTTGAAGCGGCTGAAGGAGGTGGACAGCAGCTGGCTGCGGAGCACCGCGTGCGGGACGCCTCCAAGGTGCCCCGGAGATGACGGATTGAGAGACCTATGTCAGACAGGTGAAAAGCTTTGAGAGCTGAAGCATCCAATTAGGATAAATGAGGTGACCAACTGCTTCAGCTTGAGTTTCGGCTACAGACCTGCTAGGCCGGCAGATCAGCACTGTATGGTGGATGTGTGGCAGGAGCAACCAAGCCACATCAACCATGAACTCTATCCACGCCCAACACATAAGAACGAACTCTCTTTCAAGACCTATCAAGGCCCAACACTTAAGACCCAACACTCAAGGCAAAGTCTTTAAAGATCTAAGGACTTCAGGACAGTCCAGGTCGACGTCGGTGGCCCAAGGCCCTTGGCAGAGTACCTCATCCAGGGCAGTGAGCTCGCCCAGCTCTGCGGGCCCTTCCTGCCCGTGGCAGCACTACCAGAGACCCGTTCCAGAGAGGCGCGTGGCTCGCCACGCGGCTGGACGCGGCTGGCTTTTGGAGCTTGAAACACATCTGAGAGATCTGGTCTTGGAGTTTTGTTGCCTGGGCACCCTCCAGTGGCATCGAATCCCTTAAGAACTGCCCTCCAGTGCACCAGATGTCGGTACCCATCCGTTCCACCCAGCTCTCAGCGTTCGCTCTCGCTCGGCGAGAGCTGAGCAGCTCGCCCGCCGCGGCCGCCGCAGGTGAGGCAGTGCCTTTCACAGTTGGGGCTACTGGGTGACGTAACGCCCAAGAACCTGCTCCGCTGCCTGGAAGCCATCGCCCAAAACTGTCAGGACGTGCCACACACGAAACCTTGAAAACAAGAAACGACTCCCAATTCAAATTTGGTCAGGCTGTGGGGGGCTGCCAATGGGTGACGTGTCTAGCAACGGCCTCCAACGTAATAGCAATGGCCTCGAACCTAATAGTGATGGCCTTCAACCTAATAGTTTCTGGTCTGAAGTTTTGAGCATGATGACCCGCTGAGCTTTGGCTCAACTTCCAGAACCCCCGCAAAAGGCCGGATGTTTTTCTCGTCCGTGTCAAAGATGCGTCAAGAGGACGTGGCTCTGTATGTCGCGCTCTACCAGCGCTTGGCACTCTACGACTTGGAGGAGCATCTTCCGGCGCTGTCGCAGTTGATCTTTGCAGCTCGGTCGAAATCCAGAGAGAGAGAGAGAGAGAGAGAGAATGGCCCATATAGGAACTCCGAGGCTCAAGTCAAGTCCTGAGTTTCACTTAGTGGAATTTTGCTCTTCAGGTGAAACAAATTGTAAGGGCTTCGCCCGGGTGCCGCCGACCCCTTTTCAGGAGGAATCCTACTGCGGATGGGTAACTTGGAGTCTGTCCCTGGGACCGATGCTGAAGTAGGGAAGAACCAAGGACCAAGGCTCGAAATCCTGTCCTGTTCGACCTGCATTTCGCACGCTCGACACGCACGGTCTCCGCAGAGGGTTGCGCGGGCACCGGACAAATCGCACTCTCGCTTGCATTTCGCGCGCTCGACGCGCACGATCTCCGCAGAGGGTTGCGCG